TCGTCACCATCCAGATTTTGGTGGGACCCATCCCAGGGCGGAAGTGGTGTAGTGACAAGTGGCGCGCTCTTACCACGCGAGCGGTCCGGGATCAAATCCTGGGTCGTGAGTCGCCCGGGCCAACCAAGCCTTCCATCCCTCCGGGGTCGGTTAATTGGTACCAGACTTGTCTGGGAGGATAAAAACACTGACTTGAACATCGGCTGGCCCCCGCAAGTCATTGTATAGGCCACATCGCATTCAAACGCCACTGCGAATGTACAAATGGAAGTAGAATGCGTGCCGCATCCCAAAAAGGGATTGATCAACGGCAAATGCTTTATCCTTTATCCTTTATGGGACCCATCCCCGACCGGGTGCTGCACACGGCCTCTTATTTAAACTTCGTCTTGTGATTCCAACATTCATTGACTCCACGATCAAATGGTCCCGCTTTCTCGTTTCGCCCTTACTCAGCTCTTCATAGATATTAATGTTAAACTGTAGCGCATTATGCACGGTAAGCGAGAGGTGTTGGTTCGAGTCCCACCTGCGGCAAAAATTTTTGTTCGTACCAGCATTCTTGTAAAACTTCGTGATCGCCTTTTCTTGGATCTACTGGGAAAAAGTATTTAGGAGGAATTTCGTTTAGGGTCCTCAAAACTCGTCCTCAAGAGCCAGAAAGCAGCCAATGGGCCACTTTTCTCCAGGAGCTCAACCGAAAAACTCACTGCATAATTAGTGATACCACAGCGATTAGTAAAGCAAACGCGAATTTAAGAGAGTAAAGAAATATCAACTATCTTATTTATGCTGCACTGTGGAGTATAAACACCGACTTACTGGCGTCGGTTTCCATTTCAAAGGCGCTTTCACTCGGTTTTCCGTCAAAGTAGAGGGGTCGAGCCTGTTCGAGTGCTCGTCGAGCTGCCAACGCTCTCAAAAAGGACATCGCCTGGAACATTGTTTCGTCATATATGCAACAGAAAAGAGCAGATAGAAAGAGTTACAAATACTAGGCCAGTGGCTTTTATGAGCTCTTCACCGCCTATGTCGATCAGCGCGCAATGTGGGCTTTTTCTGTTCTCTTGACTACTGGTCAACTATTCGCAATTTCTACTTTCATTCTTGGACACGGCAATCCACTTTTACGCCATCGCGAAACGCGCCCATGATCGCTCCGAGTATTAGGGGCTGGCTCCTAGTACGGTAGATTGGTAGCCCGTTGGGGATGAAAGTAGAACTGCTAGCCCGCAACAGTGAAAAAAATGAAGGAGTGGCCTGAAACCAGCAAAATGGGAGCCCTTGTTGTTCCCAACAATGTCCGCTTTATCGAGCCAAATCGGTGTTATCGTGAGTGCCCTGCTTGTCTGCTAAAACGGCTAGAGTCCGACGCTGAGGGACCGGCACACCGGCACGTTCCTCTGTAGAAGTGTCACTTTTACCTTCGTTGGAGGCACAAGTTCTCTTCATAGTGGGCACATTCACCGTTCTTTAGCATACAGTTCATCGTGCCCCCTGCCTTTAAGCAACTTCTGAGTCACATAGCCACCGAAAGCTTGCAATTAGTGATGGACCTCCTTCCTCTATCAAAATCACGCCATATGTCACTTGAAAGTACGTGGAGGCAGAGAGAAACATAAATGAACCTGTTCCTGAATAGCTGGTAGGAAGTCGAATTCTTTACAAATGACGGCCTCGTTGTCTGGAGTAAAGTATCGTGGATTTTGAAGATATCCAGTAACTGCTGTGAGTCGTTGGTTGGTAGGTTCAGGAATAGAAACGAATTTGCAACAGTTCTGAAAGAAAACGAAAAGTGACCATTCCAGTCCTAAGGCCGACCACTATCACGGGAAGGCG